CCCTGTTCATACAAACTGGTGATTAAATGAACAGAGCAAGAGGATTGCACACAACATGCTCCCCCAGTACATGAGAGATAGGAGCACCAAAATTAGTACAGCTGAGAAGAGCTTTTGCCTGAAATGATCTTAACCCACTGCTTTACAACATTTGAGCAAAACCTCCATTTAACACAACTCTCTGTTGCTCAAGTGTGTCATTTAGAGTAGCAATGCTGTTGAGCATGTAGGAGCAAGGAAGGGGGAAAGCCAGGTGAAGCTAGGTGCAACTTCCTCTATGCATGCCTGTGCTGTGGGGGGGGGGAGCAAAAGCCATTTTTCTCACAGCTTATTTTTTAATAAATCTGTTAAAGGATTTTTCAGGGCACACGTTTGTTGGAAGTGAGCAACTTTGCGCTGTCTCTTCGCCTCAGGCTTCAGAGTGGGATTAGAGAGAGTCGGAGAGATAGATCATCCTTCCCGTCTACTGCTCTGATACTATCCCTTTGATGTGTAGAATGCTACTCTCAGGGAATCTTCCTTCCTTCCAGCCTGACACCTCTCCACACTATGCTAGCCTTCTTCATCTTGGCAGGACATGCTTCTTGCATCTCTATCCATCCTAGCTAGTTAAACTAGATTAGAATCCTGTCTCTACTCTATCCTGTCTAGAATGGAGTTCCTTACCATAACTTTGTTTCTTTGTTTTCTTAAACGGTTTCTATAAACATGCCTGTCAGTCACTATTCATTTAGCTAATCCAAAAAAAGAACTCCAGCTGAGACTATCTTGTTTTATCTATCTCTACATGAAGGAATAGAGCTCAGGGATTTCCTTTAACACAATGGAAATTTGGAAATTGAGCAATATTACGTGCCTTTAAGCCAGGGAGATTTTTTATTTAGATTAAAAATGGTTTATGGACAGGTTTAGCTGTCTGCTTCACAAAGTCAGACTAACTTTTCAAACACTCCTCATTCCTCCATTTGTCCATCTGAACTTCTAAACAGGAAACTTCTCGGGCCTGTGAAAGAAACAAAATAAAATTTTAAATTGTTTTTAAGAGGGCTGTAGTTTTAAAGGAACAAGGTATAAACAATATTTCCTTTGCCAGTTTTGACTCTCCTGTGTCTCTAGTCCAGTTCCAAAAATGCCTTCTTTTGTTGGATGTTATTTGCACCTGGCTCTATTCTTTGTTTGTTTCATTTCTACTCTGCCCTTTTCCTCAATGCGGACCCAAAGCAGAGCTTCCATTGTTCTCCCATTTTATCCTCATAACAGCCCTGTGAGGTGGGTTAGGCTGAGAGTACGTAACTGGTCCAAGGTGACCCAGCAAGCTTCCATGGCTAAGTGGTAGGGTTGCCAACCTCCAGGTGGTGGCTGAAGATACCTTGGTATTACAATTTCAGGTGACAGAGTTCAGTTCACCTGAAAAAGATGGCTGCTTTGGACTGTATGGCATTATGCCCTGCTGAGGTTCCTCACCTTCCCAAAATGCCCCCTCCTCAGGCTCCACCCCCAAAATCTCCAGGTATTTCCCAACCCAGAGCTGACAACCCTACTGAGTGGGCATTTCTCCCTAATTCTTCCAAATCCTAGGCAACATTCCAACCACTATACCACACTGGGTCTCAAATTTTTTTAGACTTATACTTCACCCCTCCCCTAGGTCCCAGGGCTTGGGGCGGCACACACTATCCAATAAAACACTCTATAAATAAATATAAAGCATACTTACAACAGGGGTGTAGCCAGAAAATTTGGGGTGGTGGAACATTGGGGTCTCAGGGGGGGTGAGGGCAGGAGAGGGGGGGAGAAGACCTTCCCCTGCCTCTCCAATTGTCAGAGAGGCAAGGACCGGCTGGGTTTCTTCCTGCTTCTGCAGCTGAAGTTGGTTGCAGAAGCAGGAAGAAGACCTCCCCCCACCTCTCCAATTGCTGGAGAGGAGCAGGCTTGCTGGATTTTCTTCCTGCTTCTGAAAAATGAGCCTCAGCCAACCTTAATGGAAACCCTGGTGGAACAACTCCAACTTACAGGCCCTACGGAATCTAGAAAGATCCCACAGGGCCCAGATGTTATCTGGCAGAGAGTTTTACCAGGCAGTAACTACTATCAAAAAACCTAGCCCTCACTGAGGAGCCGCCTGTGGACTGGACACCACCAGCAGGCCACATGAGGAAGAACAACGCGGCTATTAGCCACAAGGTATAGATAGGGACTCTGGGGCAAGTGATGCTCTGTATTCTTAGTGCTTGGGGGGGCAACAGTGGGAGAGCTTCTAGTGTCCTGGCCCCACTGATGGATCTCCTGATGGCCCCTGTGTGACAGAGTGTTGGACTGGATGGGTCATTGGCCTGATCCAACATTGGCTTCTCTTATATTCTTATGAAGCATTCTTGGGGGGACATATAGGGAGAAGCAGCCCCTTAGGTATAAAGGTCCCAGACCATTTGTATATTACATATATATATATCTTTATATTACTTCTATCTGGCTAATACAATGAAAGCATTTTTAACATGGGTGCTATGGTATGAAACATGGGTCCAGGGTATGAAACAGTTTAAATCTACAGTGTATTATAGAATATATGCAGCCCCCTAAGCTGGGGAACAAGCACAGTGAAACACCATAACCAGGCCTGTTCTTGAACAATTGCCACAAAATCACCCACTTAGGGCATAACTACCCAATATGCCCTTGTTTTGCTGGGTCACAGATGCATGACTGAACTCATAGTCAGACATACAATACGGGAACTCACCTTTAAATGTGCTCATTCACCCGGTTCTACAAGGAAGCTCTGTACAGGGGGAGAAGAAACTCCTGGTTTCTCCCACACCACACTTTCTCCAGTGGAAAGTTTGGTGGGAGGTTTTCCACTTTTCTTGGGCTCCACATGTCCTTCCTAGGGCACATGGAGCCAGAGAAAAGAGCCAAAACGTCCACACATACACACCACCCATTCTGCTGGTGAAAGGATAGAAATCAAAAGCTCCTTCTCACACTCACAGCACCAAGTGAATAAGCATCTCATAAGGTGACTGTCCCCAATGTATGTTTGACTGAGAATACAGGTGCACACCTGTGACCTGGCATGTGTAGGGAGAATCTTACTGACTTCTTTAAAGAGAAATCACATTAATGAATGAGGGGGGAAACCCACATTCATTCATTTGAAAGCAAGGTCCTAGTTCTTTTCTCTGTTCTGTTCTGCAATTATTTTGCTCAGAATGAAAAGGTGTTGACTATGGAATGAAAATGAGGCTTACCACTAAGATGTTATTAGTAACAAGTCTCTCAACATCACCAGTTCTGGGGGGAAAACACAAAACAATTCAGTAATAAAACACATTCTGTAAAAAACCCTGAAATATATGCAGTCAACTGGTTTGTTGTTGTTTTTTGTAAAAAAAAAGATGCGTTCTTTGGATTTGAAAAAAGGAAAATTAGCATTCAAGGTTTAACACAGTAGTATGTGAGGCTTGCAAAACTTGTGTCCCACTGAGCTGAATGCCAGTGACCTGCCACGTATGATGGCCCTGGCCCACCAGAAGCTCAATATATCTCCTGGTTTTGTTGCCTGCCTGGAGCTGCAGAAATATGGGAGACAGAAGAGAATTTCAACTGCTTGACAATTGGGTTGAACTGGGCTTGATGTGAGCCAAAGTTGGCAGATTTGGACCAATAGGGATGCTGACATAAATAAAAAATAAATAAAATGAGACACCTTTCCCCAAATCTAGAATTCCCTATATGTGTTAGAGCTCCTTTGGTACTAGTGATTTCCCTCTTCATGTCAGTAGAAGTAGCAGGTCCATTCACACAAAGAGTGCAAGGATATGAGCCATGAGCCCCCCCCCCCCCCATGAATAAGGAAACCAAATCTGTATGCACTTCAAAAAGCACTTGGAGTTTTGGATTGGAAGCATTGTTCACAGAGCAATACCACATTTGCAAATGCAGGTACAGGCCAAAAGTACATCAGCTCACCATCCAAAGCCTCCCCTCCCCACTGAAGTCTCTACTCCACCTCTTGCATTTGTTCAGCTGCAATAGCCTGTCCTCCACTAATATAAAAAGTCTCTGTTATTTTGCCTAAGGTAGGATATACTTTAAAAACCAAATTATCTACAAGGTGGAACATCCTATCTATGCCAAGCAGAGAAGAGCTTGCACAAGCAAACTGTCTTCCTGTGAAGTCTCCTGTGTCACCAGGTCAGTTGACCCCAGGAAAAGTGTGCAGATAACTACAACAGGAGGGGGGTGTCGTGAGATTTTTGGAGGTGTGGGTGTGTGTCTGCACATTGTCTGTGAAAGCGTGCTTACCCATGTCACCCACACTCCCCCCTCAGTTTTGCAGGGGGAACCTGCAAAAAGTCTCCCACTAAAACATGGTTAGGACCAGTGTTCCCTCTAAGCTGAGTTAGTGTGAGCTGGCTCACAGTTTTTTAGCCTCTGGCTCACACTTTTTTGTCTTAGCTCAGGAAGAATGGCTCCAGAGCAAACTAATTTATGCAGTAGCCAAATAACTTGCTCACAATTCTAATGCCAGTAGCTCACAAAGTGGAATTTTTGCTCACAGGACTCCACAGCTTAGAGGAAACATTGGTTAGGACCTATCCTGATGTTATCAGTCATTCAACTATACCTTAGAAGCAGTCATATATTAAGATTCAGGCTGTGCACTGTAACCTGGAGAAGGACTTGAAGAATGACAACAACCAGGGCTATTTTGGGGCAGGAACGCACAGGAACGCAGTTCCGGCTGGCTTCCAAGTTGGCCACGCCCAGCAGGAACTCATTTGCATAATAGGCCACACCCAACATCAGAAACTCATTAGGACTGGCTACATTAGGGGTGTGTGGCCTAACATGCAAAGGAGATCCTGCTACAAAAAAGCCCTGGGTTTTGACAACAAACAAGGTAAACAGAATAAGAAGCAAAAGGTGGGTGTGGCTGGATGAGCACACTTCTGGTAACATGGGGGTGCGGCCTAATATGCCAATGAGCTGTGCTGTCAGGGGTGTGGCCTAATATGCTAATGAGTTTCTGCTGTTGGGTGTGGCCTATTATGCTAATGAGTTCCTGCTGGGCTTTTTCTACAAAAAAAGCCCTGACAACAACTGTAGCAACTAACAACATTTTACAAGTCATCCTTCCTCAAAAAAAGAAGAAGAGCAAAACAAACACTGTAGGTACCAGAAAACAGATAATTTCCCTGGTAAACAGAGATAGTTAGAACATATGATTTGAGGGAATGAAGCACAATGCTGTTGATTAATTGCTTCCTTATTGCTTATTAATTCCTTCCTGTTGAGTAGCATCATTGCATAATCACAGCAATATACTCACATGCTTATCACCTTGAATTTGACTTCTAGACTTGCTTGACTCTGAAGGGGGAAGAATAACAATTAAATGGGCTGTGGTGTCTCAGAGGTTAAGATGCTGAGCTGCAAACCAGAAGGTCTGTAGTTCAGCAGTTTGAGACCCTAGTGCCGTGAGACGGAGTGAGCTCCCGTCTCTGGCCCCAGCTCCTGCCAACCTAGCAGTTCGAAAGCAAGAAATTGCAAATAGATAAATAAGTACTGCTTCAGTGGGAAGTAACAGCATTCCGTGCGCCTCGGCATCTAGTCATGCCAGCCACATGGCACGGAAACATCTTTGGACAGTGCTGGCTGTTTGGCTTGGAAACAGAGGTGAGCACTGCCCCTAGAGTCGGATTCGACTGACTTTCAAACAAGGGAAACCTTTACCTTTTACCTAGGCCACTTAAACCCTGCCCAGAGTTGAGTCTGGAGTGATGGCCACAGCAAATATCTGTTTGAATTGCCTGCATGAAGAATGCCAACAGTGTGTCAAGTCCTTTCCCCCCTGAGAGTAACACCTCCATTCAAACAGTATAGCAGAGCAAAAGATAGGGTATACACTTCGGAGACAAAACTCCACTGAAAAGGCTTTTACAGTTGTACTTTTCTCAAAAGTAAAACCCATAAAGGGCAATATCAATGGTGTATTAATGAAAGCAAGGTTCAGGCAAAGGAGGACACCAAGTGGTCACAGATCAAAACTGTAATCTGCAAGGATAGTCCAAGAACACACAGTTCAAGAAATTGCAAAGGATGTCTTCTTCACATACTTCAGCTGTATGTATGACACACCTGAACTATCGAACAGAACACAGATACTGTAGAACAGGATATCTAATTGCCTGATCTCTAATTAACAGACATGATGTTGCAGTTGAATAGGGGTGGGATCCTTAGTTTCATTGATTTTAGTAATTATGTAATCTCTGCTTTCTACAAACCCTGTGTTCTGCACTATTGACACCACAGTGATGCCAACCTCCGGGGGTTGAGTTCTCCTGGTATTACCACTGATCTCCAGAGTACAGAGATCCATTCCCTTGAAGAAAATGGTAGCGTTGGAGGGCGGATTCTATGGCACCATATGCCTGCCGATCTCCCTTCCCAGTCCAGTGTCTACCTTCCCCAGGCTCCACCTCCAAATCTCCAAGAATTTCCTAGCCTGGAGTTGGCAGCCCTTTTACACTCCACCCTTTTAACTGAATTTTATTTATTTAAAACATTTGTTAGCTGCCTTTCTACCTTACAGAACTCAAGGCAGCTTGAAACGTAAACGGAATAACAATTGTATAAACCAGAATCTAAAACCACAGTTTAAGACTGCCCCCAAATTAATTAGATTCAGGTGGGCAGCCACGTTGGTCTGAAGAAGAAGAACAAAGTCCGAATCCAGTGGCACCTTTAAGACCTGGACCCAAATTAATTAATTAAATGCACACCTAAATGAAACCATCTTCAACTTCAGTTTTACCCAGGAACCTGAGATGAGCCCTGCTGTATTAGTCCAGTGGTCCATCTAGTTCAGCATTCTGTTTTATGCATTAGCCAAACAGTTGCCCAAGATGGCCAGCTAACAGCATCCAAGCAGAGGCCTTTCCATGATGCTGCCTCCTAGTACTGAGTTTCAGAGTCTTGGGCTGCAGTCACACATGCCATTTGGCACGGAGGGGAAGGGTCCCTATTTCCTCCAGTGGAATTTGATGCACAGTCACGTGGTCACACATCCCTTTGTGCTGCTGGCTCAGCCCATCGTTGTGCAATCAGACACCACTTCAGGTGAGTGGGTTTTCTTTGCCTTTTGTTTCCCATGTGCATAAATGAGGAATCGAACCTCCTCATGGAGTGTTCCCAATGGAGTATGCAGTTATGCACATACTGCTAAGCAAGGGGGGAAAACTGGCACCAAGTTAGGATGGAACGAGCAGACCATCCCGATGGCTTGAGAGCGTGCTTGAGCAACCAGACTAGGGGAAATCATTAGGACCGGACTCTCCCAGTGTCTTTTAACTCCGTTTCTGTGGCAGGGCAGCACGGAGTGCTGACAACTGCAGGACCTTTCCCAGATGTTGCTGTCTGATTGTGTGCTTTAGATCTGTCAGGCATTTGCAGCTACGTCGGATCTAAAGGCACGTCTCACCGCAGCCTTGCTATTTCTGTGTGTGGAGGCTCTATTAACTCACCATTAGTAGCCATTGATGAACCTTTCTTGCATGAATCTGTCTAACCCCCTTTTAAAGCCATCTGTACTCACAGCCATCACTGCTTCCATTGACAGTGAATTCCACAATTTATTTAAGTGTGGAGCAAAGAAATATGTCCTTTTGTCTCTTCAGAATCTATTGCCCATCAACTTCATTCAGTGTCCCTCTATCCACTTTCTCCACCCCAGCATAATTTGTGTAAACCTCCATCATATCCCCCCCTGCATTTACCTTTTTTTCTAAACTGAAAAGGCCCAGACCCAGGAAAATGTTATACAATTTGTTTCCTTGCTGATTTTGGACAACTAGTTTTACCACCTGCTGTTTTAAAATACTGATGATTGGTTTCATTGCTGCTGTTTTAATTTGTTTAGTGTATTGCGTTAAGGAAGAGCCTTGTGCAGGGCCAGTCCAAGAGGTGGCAAGGCAAGAAAAGGCGCGTGTGGTGGCCAAGCCACTCAGAGAGGCACAAGGCCTTTGGTGCCACACTGCATGGCTTGTCTCGCTGAAGCGCATGTTTGGGTGGATCCTGGGCAGGAATTCTTCACCGACATGGCTGGTGCAGGGTTAATAACACCTGTTTCCTTCTCTTCCTTCTGGAGGATCACAAAAAGTTCTGTCTGGGTTGTTTGCTCCCTGGCAGGGTTTATATGAAGGGTGGACGTGCATGCAAGGGGGAGGGGGAGGAAGGGGGTTGGGCAGCTTTGAAGCCACGGGGTGGAATGGAGAGTGGACACTGCATGAGGACAGGTGCCAGGCCGTTTGGCTTTTCCTCTCCAGCAGGATGCCGCTCGCCCCAGGCTTCCTCCCCCTCCTGGCCCTGGGTGAGTTGTGGTGAATCAAGGCTATGGTCCTGGCTGAGTCGTGCACGCTTCAGGCCAGTGCAGTGGTGGTGCTGCACAGCTACTGCTGAATTAGGAATTAAAGGGGGAGATTGGGGTTGGGCATTGAAAAATTGACGGCTGACTACGGACATTGGATAGAAGTCTTTTAAATTAATACACTGATGTGTAAGAGCATCCCATCTGTTGCAATCCCTTATTTATAGCTTGTCTGTCTGTGAATGGTAATCCCTTTATAATGCCTTATAACATAGCTGTCTGATTGGCTTGCAGTGACATTCTAAGCAGAGTTACATCATTGTAAGTGAAGTTGATGACTTTAGAAGGGTGTAGCTCTGCTTAAAATGGCACTGTTGCCTGCCCAAAGCTCTGGGTCATTGTTGGTACTAATCCCTTTCTTCTACTTCCATGTGTGTTTAGCATTCTGCTAAACTAGGTGTGATGTGACACCTAGTGGTTGCCTGGCACAGTTGCACTGACACACAATGCTGTGTGCTACAGCGATATCCTTGTGCTACTGGCACAACAGGGCACATTAAGGCATTGTCCTGGACTGTGTACCAGTCTGTGTGTCTTTTCTGTGTTTCTTTACATGAGTATTCAGGACACTGGAATACTGATCCCTGACTGGCTAGGACTTATAAATGAGGATAATTAACATCGCCATTGATGTTTATGGGCAAGAAAAGGCCCTTTCTAATTCTCTTTGGCCAATATTTTTCACTCCTGCTCAAAATCTGACTGTATAGTCTCTCTACTTGTTGACTTCCCTTGTTTATTTTACCCTTTGTGTATTTGAAAGTAAAGACAATGAAAACACCTGTATGCCTCCTCCTGTTTCTTGGTGTCTGTAACTTAGGCCAAGCACTCATTTCTGAGGTGATATCAGCAGGACTCAGATGACATGTCAGTGCACCTCCCATACTGAAGTTTTGTGGGATGCCATACCTCTATGGATTTTTTAAAGTCTTACTTTCCACTTGCACATTTTGCCTGTATCTGTGGTGTGTGATTGTGGTCACACATCCATCGTGGTGGTTAGTCCACTTGGCAATCAAGTTTATATTGTACAGAAGTCATCCAATTGTTCTACAGTCTTCTCTGTGATTTCCTGCCAGTGTGGATAGGCACTCAATTTTTAGTCATCACACCATAATTTGCATGGTGGAATACTACTGGGTCAGCATTCCAAACCACCCATACATCTCACAAATGATTGGCATGGCAAAAGAAAGGGGAAGTACATCCACACCAAAGGAAAAAATCAGCAGGTCAACGTGCCACACAAATAACTACACAACGTAAAGAGACAGCATGCACAAGTTCCTATGCAACTCACAGCTTGACTGAGTACCAGGACATAATTGCTGTGCAAGGAAATGTCTCATTTTATCCATCCCTTACTTCAGTAAGTTTTCTCCAATGTCTTTCAGTTTATTCTCATAAACAACTTTTTATGAGAAGTGAGACTGGGATTTAGATAGTAAAGCAGTTCTTCCACTCCTATTCAAATGTGGCTGATTTTCAGAAGTACAGAAATTTGGAAGGAGAGAGAAAAAACTCATTTTCAAAAGAAACATCTCTTAAACTGAAAAGCTGGTCCAATTGTTCACATTTTTAACTTTCTGTTTCACCAGTCAACAACAGCATAGAATGCAAAGTCGATTATAATGAATGCATTCCATGCATTGCTTCTTTCATAGGAATCATTAAATTATATAAAAAAGCCTAATTTCTATCCCAACAAAAAACAGAAAGGTAAACCATACTGGACCAGAAAACAGAGACTGGATTTGATCCAGCGATCTGTCAGTAGAAGGTGTTAATGGTCACGGTTCTTTTCTGCTTTTCCTTATACAGGGGCCATGCTAATCTTCGCTGTATTGTTCCAATTTTAGTATAGCTGCTGCCAAAGCAAGCACTTCCTGTTTCTCCCCTTTCTCCAGAAACCATTCCTGGCATCACAGGACCCACAGGCTGGTGGCCTGCAGAAAAGTGGGGGGGGGGGAGCTCTGCCGATGGAAAAGGAAGCAAGGAACTATTTCACCCTCTTCCTCCTCCTTACTACAGCCTAGTTATCTATGTTGATATTACTCCATGCAGGAATCAGCATTCATAGTGCTAGAAAGTACTGCTGGGGGGAGGAGGAAGCAAAGGAGATCTGCATCTCTTGATGAAGATCCATTTCCATGTAAACATATAAAACCGGGGAAAAAGCAAACTTTAGAATTCATTTGTCTTTAAGGTGCCATGATGTCTTGTCATTTAAACTGCAGCAGCCTAACAAGTGATTTTTTAAAAAAACTTACTAGATACATAATTTTATTACAAGCACATCTACAGAAGCCCAGCACATGCATAGTTTAGGAAAGTACTATTACCTTTGAGTTTCCTGTCCAATGATTAAGCTAGTGATTCATTAACCAAAAAAACCTGTTGAAAATATTTAATAGGGCTGACTGAACAGTAAATATTTAATTGGGGGTGACTGAACCAGTAAACTAGACATTAGACTATTCACTGAAGAAAAAGAACTTCCGAGCTGACTATTTGATAAATATTACCTGAAAACAATTAAAAGTGTTCTCTGGCAGGCTTGAGAACTGGTATGTATGAGTCATTAAGCTGGAACGGAAGAGAACTTGGTTCAAATCCCTACTTAGCAGTGATGCCTGGTGAGTGGATTTTTGGCCAGATTTGAATTCAGTAACACCTTAGAGACCAACAAGATTTGGGGGTGAGAGATTTTGACTGTTGAAGCTCCCTTCAGCCAGTTACCAGTACTTCTCTTTCAACCTCAGCTCAAAATCGTTGTGAGGATGAAATTGGAAAAAGCCATATAACCAGAGTTCTATTGAGGGGACGATGAGATGAGTATGCAATTTAAAAGCAAAAAAAAAATTGGTTACAGCCTCATTGATTATAAATTGTATGTCACATGCAGCTGCATATTAAGCACAAAAAGGTAGGGAGGAAGAGAAGAAAATGTTTCCTGGCATGTTCGCCAAAACTCCACAACTTGTACATTTGTTAACACAGAGATAAGGAGGTGTTCCAGACTCAATGCTATGTGAAAATCTGTTTTTCAAGATGACCCGAAACAACTTTTTTTCTCTCTTCTTTCCACCTCCACCCACTTTTTGTGTTTAACATGCACTCTGATGAAGAGTTGTAGGAACCTGAAGGATTGTGATCAATGTGATCAATGTGGAGTCTTGTGAGCAAAAATTCTCCTTTGTGAGCTACTGGCATTAAAGTTGTGAGCGAGCAATTTGGCTACTGCATAAATTAGTCTGCTCTGGAGCCCATCCTTCCTGAGCCAGGACAAAAATGTGTGAGCCGGAGGCTAAAAAACTCTGAGCTAGCTCACACTAACTCAGCTTAAAGGGAACATTGGCCCCGGTCACACGGGCAGGAAACTGCAGAGGAGAAGCGTGGCTGTTTGCTCTGGGGCAAACTACTGCGCAGTTACGTGATCAGACCTCCTGTGGAGGTACCGTGGAGGTTCCATGGAGGTTCCATGGCAAGGGAGAGGTGCCGATCACAGGACAAGCCGGCGCTCAACAAAGAAGCGCGCGCCGCGGCAAATTGTTTTTTATTTTTGTGTACATGACAAATGCGCATGCTCCGTTGGGTGCACACGCGCATCCACAGAGACTTGGACAAAAAAAACCACCTTATTTGCAAGGGGACATGGGCGGGCGCCGGATGCCACCGGAAACGCGATCAGACGCCCGCCCTTGCCCCGCAGTTTCCGGAAACTAGTACCTCCAAGGTACTAGTTTTTTGCCACGCAGTTTCGGCTGGAAGCCTCGGTTGAGCCACGGGAGTGCTACGCTTCCCAGATGTGCTGGTGAGATCGCGCCCGGAAACTCCGGCTGTCTTCCGTCTCACTTGTGTGGCTTCTGTTACGTGTGACCGCAGCCATTGATTGTGATTGGTGTTTTGTGATAATTTTGGTTAGTCCAAATATTTTTTTTAAACTATGACTCTTCAATTGTTTTTTAGATTCTCCCCTTCCACTGGTAAACACAGTTACCTACAACTTATGCCACAAAGGTTTTTTCATGGTTTTTCAAATCTCCAAAGGAAAAGTAAACAAAGGACAGTCAAGCAGATAATGCAGATAATGTATTGCTTCTCTATATCCTCCATAGCAAGTCACCCAGAGAATTAAGCCAGTAAATGGGGGGAAATGAAACAAACAAATAATAAAGCAGCTTTTATGTCATTTCAATTCTCATACCTCACCTCAGAGTTCAAAATGAAGTTTTCATAAATCGTGTCCCCTGGTCTTATTTTTGCAATATCATAGACCACAGTGAAAAGGAGATCATCTTTGGTGGCCACATCTTGATCATAGAGCTTCAGCTCTAACATGTTCTGAACACAAAAAAGAAAGGCAGGAGAGAACATGAACTCCATTCCCCAAAGAAAGGTGTTTTCTGCAAATTCTGACAGCTGCCAGTGACCCAGATCCATTGCCTGAAACCTCTGAAAACACTCCACAGCTCAAGGCTAGTGTCTCATTATCCCTGCTCCCACATACATGTAAGTCTAAACTTTGAATGGGCATGTCTTCATCAGCCTCATACTCATGGTGACTTTACACAAGTTGGCATTTCCTCAGCCCCTCCCCCTACAATATTTATGGGGAAATTTGGCTTATTTCATAGGGCTGTGGTAAAGATTACTGAGATCATATATGTGAAGCATTTCAAGCACTTTAGACAAGCTATGTAAATGTGGTTACTATACATGCCTTGTGCTGCCTCCCGACCAGAAATAATAACACTAGGTAACTTATCTCCAAGCCACCTATTTTGAGTTGCCCCCAACCACAACTTTTACCACAGCAGCCACAGTGGTCCACTCACCTACCATGCTGCCTAGAAGTTAGTGTAACAGAGATGGCTGGTTTGATTTTTAAGAAATGGCCTGTTATTACAAAAAATACCAGTCTCAAAGTACATTATGGATTCTCCTTATGCCTAAAATCAAACCTTCAAAATGCTCCCTATTTTTTTAAATTCTGATGTTACAATCTGAGTAATGATGCCTCAGGCAACCCCAGGTGTTGGTGCTTCTGCTTTTTCCTTCTACCCCACATTACAAATCCTAAAGCCATACCCTGTTCACTAAAAGAAGAAGAGTTCATTAGAGCTCTTTTGTGTAAGAACATTGTCAGCCTAAAGATGAAACAGATTTTTAAAAGCAGCATACTTTGACCTGAGGCTGGATCAAGAAATTGAAGCTTTCATTCCAAACAGGGTTGCTGGTATTTGGGATTGTTTTAGTCAGGACTTGCATATTTGAAGAAGTTGGCAGCCAAAGACTCACATAACAGTCAGAGGCACTCACTAGAGAGAGAGAAATTAAAATGTATTAATGTGTAATGCACAGTTTTTAATGATTAGCCTTTCCTGGTCTCAACATGCAGCAGAATAAGATGGCTGAATCCTGGTATGGTAGAATGGGCTGTGCCGTTCTGACAATAGGGGGAGCGTGCTACTTTGAATTTTCCCTTATATAAAAGGCTCCCTAAAATTTGTATTTAAAAATTAACACAGCATACTAATCCAACCTGCTCCTCGCTGCTCTAGTTTCCCAGTTTTAGGGAGCTTTTTGGCAAAGATGCATTGAATAATGTAACTCCCCACCTGTACTTTGAAGTGGTATCATCCAGGCCATCTCCTTAGGTCTATACAGGCCTGTATAGACTCACTTGAGTATTTAAATATTGATGCTGGAGAGGCAAATAGGATTGCCAGGTCTGGGTTGGAAAGCACCTGGAGACTTTGGGGGTGAATCCAGGAGAGGGTGGGGTTTGGGGAGGGGAGGGGCCTCAGCAGGGTACAATGCCATAGAGTTCACCTTCCAAAGCAGCCATTTTCTCCAGGGGAGCTGATCTCTGTCAGCTGGAGATTGGTTGTAAAAGTGGGAGATCTCCAGGCCCCACCTGGAGGCTGGCAACCCTAGAGGCAAAATCACTGTAATGCATTACTGCATCTTGTTTACAGTGTAGGGTTGCCAACTCCAGATAGGGAAATTCCTGGAGTTTGGGGGGTGGAGCCGCCTGGGGAAGGTGTTGTTTGAGGACAACATGATGCCACGCAGTCCACCCTTGAAAGCAGCCACTTTCTCCAGGGGAATGGACTTCTGTTATTTGGAGATCAGTTGTAATTCTTGGAGATCTAGGATTGCCAATCTCCAGGTAATACCTGGATGTTATTTATTTCCTTATGTATTATACTATGTAACCTACACCAGAGCTTCAGGCACAAGCTCCATTGACTTTCAAGTATTCTAAACCCTGCAGTCGGATTGGTTGCTGTTGTGTAACAGACCAATCCGGAAAGACTCTGAACTTTGACGGGAACGAATCCCATTGGTTCTAAGCTCTCAGTTGTAATTGGTCATTACTGTGCTGGGGGTGTGGTTTTCCCTGGTTCAAAATATATAAAGTTGCAACTTTCTTGAGTGTCGTTGCTGTGTTCTGAGCTGAATAAACAAATCACTGTTTAAGAAACGCTGCCTTAATCTCAGTATATAACACTGGAGATCTTACACTATTACAACTGATCTCCAAGCGATAGACAGCAGTTTACTAGGGGAAAACGGCTGCACTGGAAGGTAGACTCTGTGGTATTATACCTCATCTGTCCCTCCCAGGGGTCGTTTCATAGAAAAAGAGCTAGGGGATCTCATTAGCATAACTCATTAGCATATGCCACACCCCCTGACATCACCGGAAGTGTGTCATAAGGCCACACCCCCTGACATCACCGGAAGTGTGTCATAAGGCCACACCCCCTGACATCACCGGAAGTGTGTCATAAGGCCACACCCCCTGACATCACCGGAAGTGTGTCATAAGGCCACACCCCCTGACATCACCGGAAGTGTGTCATAAGGCCACACCCCCTGACATCACCGGAAGTGTATCATAAAGCCACACACCCCGCTCCCAACGGTCCATCTGGTCCCTCCTCTCCCCAAACCCTGCCCTCCTCAGGCTCCACTACCAAAATCTCTAGGTATTTCCCAGCCTGGAACTGGCAACCCTGTCTCCGGGTCCCACGTGGAAGGTGACAGCTTTATTACAGTGTGTAAAGCAGCAACACAGCTAGAAGAGTACTTTTGCACTAGCTGGCATCAATCAAGCCTAACATTTCCAGGCTAAGCAGAGGTACACCCTTCTAAGCTTACTGACTTCAACAGACTGAGAAGAATGTGAGGAATTTCACATTACCCTTTTTAACCCATTTTGAAGCCGTTTTTGATCCGTTGTGAACTGGTATAGTGCTGCCATTTCATACATGGCTTTCCCCTTCCGGTAAACAGCTGGATCTGAAGCGGTTTGCCATTTCAGACTGTACTGCATTTTCCCGCTTTTTCCCCGCCGTTTTTCGCCCACACGGGCGATCTCCAGCTTTTTTTTTAATGTTCGCTTTAGAGCGCTATAGTGCTATAACACAACACTCCAGGCATTCCAATGGGGTTGATATAATGCTGTTTCATTATAGTGTTATAGCACTATAGCGCTATAAAGCAAACGTTCCCCCCCCAAAAAAGCTGTAGATCGCACGGGCGAAAAACAGCGGGGGAAAGCGCATCGGAACCGGGAGAGGAAACTGAAGACTACTTGGAAGTGGTTGACAGGTAAAATGCTTCAGCCCCGTTTCCTAAATGGGACAGTAGCGTTTGTGTGTGAAATTACAAATATATTCCGGTAGGGGACTGGTTCTAAGATGGTTCTGTCTGAAATGACAGACCAGAAACCGTTTGGGAACCATTCCTCTTCTGGATTATATCATCTGTCTGAAATTCCTCTGTAACTCTGCTTAAGACAGCACTGTATATCCATTATTCCTGAGACTGCGGAGAGGTGAGGAATATGTATTCCTTAACCTTCTATTCGGTACTTCTCAGGATTCTGAGAAAAGAAAGCTGGTAAAGAGGATGCAAATCAAAATTGTAGAACTATACATGTTCTTGTAAAAGGCCATTTGAGTGCCTAATCTCTTCCAAGAGAAATTAGATGGAAAATGTGTCCACTCACGTAGGTCTTTTGAGGGTATGTTCTGAGCTTGGATGACCTTCACTGAAAATAAGTAGCAGGGAAAGGTTTCAGTCTGAAGAGAAAACAAACACACATGAGTAAAGTAATGACTCCTATTAATTCTAACACATCCAAAGCAGACTTATTAAAGATATTGGATTATTTATTCCTATAGGATTTGTTTTTAAAAAAATAACATTCCTATTATACTCTATTAGCTGCCTTGAACAAAGAGGAAAGTTGTGATACAAATGTTTTAATAAATAAAAATTAAATTTTGTTCCCTTAATATTTACAGGGGGGAACTAGGATCGTAACTAAAATTCCCTTAAATTGACCTTAAAACTAGTCTTCTTCATATTTATAGATTGCCCAGTATAGCCATGATTTTCCTATTACCTCCAAGAATAAGAGTATAATCCTAAACAGGGCTATACCCTTCTAAATCCATTGAGTCAAGTGGCTTAGAATGGTGTAACTCAGCTTAGAACTGCACTGCAACTCACAGTTCATGACATGCTGAACTAACTCCGCTAAAAGCGTCCTCCACCCAAGGCTGATGTCACCTCCCTTTTACTTCTTGTAATTTCATTGCATTCCATTCCCTCTAGCTATCATAATTTTGAGATTCCAAGCATACATCTAATTTGTAGATAGTAGGGAAGTTTTTGTTCTAATCCACCTGCCGTTTTACAAAGAGTGGAGTACAAACTTGGGAGCTGGTATAGCACAGTGGTTAAAAGAATGACCTGGGGACCAGGAGTGCTCTGGTTCCAGATGTTAGTATATTTTACTGGAGACCTTTAAAAATGTTTGTTCCTTTATGCAGCAGATAGGAAACAAACAGGCACATGAACAGGCAGTGTTAACCCCAAAACAGCATCAGTACAACCAAGGAGGGAATTGGGAAACAAAAATGGCCCTGGAAAAATGTTCCACAGTGGCCCCAAGTCACAACAACCTTGTGAGGTAGGTTAGGCTGAGAGTGTAGAACTGGCCCAAAGTCACTCAGCAAGCCTTAATGGCAGATTGCAGATTCGAACCTGGTTCTCTGAGATACTAGTGTTACACTTTAACCAAGGGGTCCCCAACCTCTTTGAGCCTGTGGGCACATTTAGAATTCTGACACAGCATGGTGGGCGCACCAACAAAATGGCTGCCACTGAGGTGGAGCCTAGGGTTGCCAGGTCCGATCGTTGCACTGGCAGAGGGATTGTGGGCATTCCAAGACTGGGCAAGAATGTTGCACAATGTGCATACATCGCCCAGAAGTGTCATGGGCACACCGGTAACATCAGGGGTGAGGCTCTGGTTTTGGGGCAAAACTCTATGGCAAAATCACCCTCAAACTCTGGAGTTTTGCCCAAAAACAGAACGTCATCCCCCCCCCCATGTCACCGAAGTCCCTACGTCACTTCCAGGTGACAGTAGTGTGTCATGCATGACATTGCTGTTGGGGGGGGGGATTTCCTACTTCCGGCCAGCTGGAGCTCATGAAAGTGGGGGATCCCCTGGTCCCACTAGGGGATGGTAACCCTAATGGAGCCAGCCACAAAATGATTGTCACAGCTTTACTTCAGTAACAGTGCAGATCCTTGTGTTGTGGTTCCCGGGGGCACTTAAGGAGGCAGTGGTGCATCCCCTCTTGAAAAAACCATCTTTGGACCCGACCAAATTGGCTGGTTTCCAACTTGCCCTATTTGGGCAAGATAATAGAGAGGGCGGTGGCACTTCAGTAACAGAGCTTTCTGGATGACGCCTATCTTAGATCCCTTCCAGTCTGGCTTTTGTCCTGGGCACGGGACAGAGACATGGCACGGGACAGAGACAAAAGGCTGACTTGGCAGTGGCTGCAATCTGGGCCTCCATTGTTAAGGAGGCATCCAGGAGCACCCCCAGACTCCTAACCTCTGACACTGGCACCAATGACACCCCATCGAAGGCTGGGAGCGGGATCCCTACCCCTGGACCGCCATGACTCAGGCACAGGACCTCCATCTTCATCGGATTCAATTTCATTCGGCTCCGAAGGCATCTGGATCGGGGTGGATCGGCAGTGCTGTTGTTGTTAGATCTGTTGGCCACGTTTGACACGGTCGACCATCAACTACTGATCCACCACCTCGCTGAAACTGGAATCCAGGGACCAGCCTTACAGTGGCTTGTTTCCTTTCTCGAAGGTCGGAGACAAAGAGTGGCGTTGGGGGATCAGCTGTCCCAGAGGCACTCACTGGAATGTGGAGTGCCACAAGGGGCAATGTTGTCCCCGATGCTTTTTAACATTTATATGTGCCGTCTTGCCCGGATTGCTCGGAGGTATGGAGCGAGTTGTCATCAGTATGCGGATGACACCCAGCTTTATTTGTTGCTGGACGGCCAGTCTGACCCCAAACCGGAAGTCCTAGATTGGGCGTTACAAGCTGTGGCTGGTTGGCTTAGGCTGGGCCGAATGAAATTGAATCCGATGAAGATGGAGGTCCTGTGCCTGAGTCGTGGCGGTCCAGGGGTAGGGATCCTGCTCCCAACCTTCGATGGGGTGTCATTGGTGCCAGTGTCAGGGGTTAGGAGTCTGGGGGTGCTCCTGGATGCCTCCTTAACAATGGAGGCCCAGATTGCAGCCACTGCCAAGTCAGCCTTTTACCATCTCTGGCTGATAAGGCAGCTGGCTCCCTTCCTCGAAAGTGGCGACTTGGCAACAGTGATCCATGCGATTGTCACCTCAAGATTGGATTACTGTAATGCCCTCTACATGGGGCTGCCCTTGGCGCAAATCCAGAAGCTGCAGCTGGTGCAAAACGCCACAACCAGGCTGGTGATGGGACTCTCCAGGAGCACATCCAGCCTGTGCTAAAGGTGTTGCACTGGCTGCCTATAGCATACCGGATTCGCTTCAAGGTGCTGGTTCTTGCCTATAAAGCCCTTTATGGCAGGGTTCGACATAACTGCAGGACCGCCTTTCCCCATATATGCCCCAGGAAGCACTGCGTTCAGGGACCCAGAATCGACTGGTTCTCCTGAGTATTAAGGAGGCCAAATTAGCAACAACTAGGGCCAGGGCTTTTTCGGTGGCGGCTCCACTCTGGTGGAACGAGCTCCCAGAGGAGATCAAGGCCCTACGGGACCTTTTACAGTTCCACAGGGCCTGCAAAACGGACTTCTTCCGCCAGGCTTTTGGAGCTGCCGCCGCCGCCGCCACCATTACAACTGCAACTATCGGTGGTGCTATTAGTAACAACTGACTGCTATGGTGGAAGCCCTGAGTCACAGGTCCCTGTGACTACTGCCTGCCCCCCCCCCCCCAAACCGACCGGGCCCAATAGAATCATCTAATGTAAACATTGGAAATACTAGCACTTTAAAATTGATGATTTTAAGAATTGTTTTATATTGCTGTACTAGTTAATGTCATAAATTGTGTTTTATGTATTATGAAATTTTTATTTTGTTGTGAGCCGCCCTGAGCCAGCCTAGGCCGGAATGGGCGGGATAGAAATTAATAAAATAAATAAATAAATAAATTGTGGTGGCAGCTGCTGCAAAAGCAACATTTTAAAAAATCTGCACAGCAAATCAAATTTCCAGTAGTCAATCAGAAGCCTTGCTGGACAAAAGCCCTACCTAGCCCTGCCCATTTCCTAAAAAAAATACTTGGCAGGCACCAGGAAAGATGTTGGTGGGCGCCAAGATGCCCATGGGCACCACGTTGAGGACCTCTGCCCTAACCACTACAGCACACTGGCTCTCAAGCTGTGCTTTTCTGTGTAATAATGGGTTTTGCGATAATCCAGCCTTGATAATCAACAAGAAAATTAACTGACATCAGTAAATCCTTGCTTAGCAAGACTTAGATTTGCAAACCTTCTAATACAGGCATCTGTGGGACATGAAAAAAACAAAGCTTCCCTCTCCAGAGGCCCACTGGGAGATTTTAATGGCTGATCTGCCCCTGAGTACAGCAGTCCAAGACCCTAATAAACCTGACAACATGCTTCACAATAAGCTTTTCAGCAGGCTCCAAAGTCAAATTTCTCTCCCGTTTCCACACTATCTAGTCTACTCTATGAGTGGGCAAAGGCTTCAGGTACCTTCTGCAATTGATTTTTTTAATGACAACAAGTCTGACTAGATATCAATGACCACTGAGAAAGCACCTATTAGACATCCACCGTTAACTAGGAGGTTATGAGCTGCCACCCCGTGGCAGCAAGCCTGGATTTGCTACACACTCAACACAGTACTGCAACTTCTCATCTCTTCCTTACAGGGGATCTTTCTGATACATGTGTTTCCAAATATGTATTTCTCCCACAGTCACATTTAAGATTTTTAGGTGTATGCTTTAAATAACTTTTTGGAAAAAGAGGTGCCAGAACTCTCAAGAGGGAAATGACTTTTTCAGTCTGTATACTGAAAACTCACAAACTTTTAAACATTTTAAAAAGAATTTTGTCAAAGAGATTCCAGAAGAAGAAGAGAAGAGATTGGATTTATACCCCGCCCTTCACTACCCAAGGGAGTCTCAGAGCGGCTTACAAACTCCTTTCCCTTCCCCTCCCCACAACAGACACCCTGTGAGGTAGTTGGGGCTGAGAGAACTCTTGACAGAAACTGCTCTTTTTCAAGAACAGCTCTTATCAGAACTACAGCTTGCCCAAGGTCATCCAGCCAGGTGCAAGTGGAGGAGTGGGGAATCAAAACCGGTTCTCCCAGATTAGAGTCCGTGCACTTAACCACTACACCTAACTGGCTCCGTTCCGACATGTTCCCCCAGAAAAAAGCCCTGTATATATCGTGTGAAGCAGTCATAGACAAGAAATGGGGGCTTATCTTTTTGCTTAGCATAACAGTGCAGCAGAGTTTGCCACAATGTTAACAGGAAAATTTTTTAAAGGCTCATATATTCAAAGCATGAGTTATCATGCCTTAAACGAGTAACAGCTTTCTAGTAGATAGATGAACTGAGCTGCCTCAAGTAGATTCCAGGAGAGGCAGCATATGATCTTTCAAAATGTAAATAAATAAATAATACACCCCCTCTCTCCATTTCTGACTATGAGACCTTTTCCTTTGGTC